GGAGGGGGAGGGGGACAAGCTAGGTGCGCTCGCGTCATATCTGACGTCCTACCCCTCCCTCCCATCCCTTACCATGGCGCTGATTTTCTCTATCCGCGGACGCGTGTTGTAGCGGACCTGTGGCTCCGCGCGCGCGTGCGTAGTGGGTGGTGGTGCGCGTGCGTGCGTGCGTGCGTGTGTGCGTGGTTGTGGTGGTGGTGGTGGTGGTGGTGGTGGTGGTGGTGGTGGTGTGATGGTGGTGGTGGTGGTTGCTGGTGCGTGGTGGTGTGCGGGTGGTGGTGGTGTGGTACTGGGGACTGGTGCTGTGGTGTGGTGGTGCTGGTGGTGGTGGTGGTGTGCTGGTGATGTGGGTGGTGGTGGGCTGGTGGTGGTGGTGGTGGTGTGTTGGTCTGGTGCTGGATGTGGTGGTGGTTGTGGTGGTGGTGGTGGTGTGGTGGTGCGGCGCGGTGGTGGCGGGCGGATGGGCGCGCGAGAAAGAGGCCCGCGCTGGGGCGAGAACGCCATCCTGAACGACGGAGGCCAAGCACCGATCCGAAAATGAGGCCCACGCTGCAGCGGGAGCACGATTCGGAACGATTCGGGAGCAGAAATGAGGCCGGCGCCTTAACGAGAGCAGCATTTTGGGAAAAAATGACGCTGGCGCCTCAGCGAGAGTCGTTTCCCGGGATTTTCCGGGCATCCTGTGTGTAAAAAAACAGTACGCGGAGGGTGCGCGGCTATCACCCGGACGCCATCAGGGGAAGGATTCGGGAGCAGAAATGAGGCCGGCGCCTCAACGAGAGCAGCATTTTGGGAAAAAATGACGCCGGCGCAAGCAGCATTTTGGGACAAAAATGACGCCGGCGCCTCAGCGAGAGTCGTTTCCCGGGATTTTCCGGGCATCCTGTGTGTAAAAAAACAGTACGCGGAGGGTGCGCGGCTATCACCCGGACGCCATCAGGGGAAGAGGGAGAGTATATCCATATTGAGTAATTGTTGAGGAAAAGTGGAGGAGGAAAATTGGAGGAGGAGGAACAGAGGAGAAGGAGGAGGAGGAGGAGTAGGAGGAGGAGGAGGAGGAGAAGAGGGGAAGAGGAGGAGGAGGAGGATGAGGAGGAGGAGGAGGAGGAGGAGGAGGAGGAGGAGGAGGAGAGGAGGAGGAGGAGGATGCGGAGGACTCGGAGGAGGATGGAGGAGGAGGCGGAGGAGGAGGAGCAGGAGGAGGAGGAGGATGAGGAGGAAGAGGAGGAAACAACGGAGGAGGAAGGAGGAGGAGGAGGAGGAGGAGGAAGGAGGAGGAGGAGAGGAGGAGGAGGAGGAGGAGGAGGGAGGAGGAGGAGGGGGAGAGGGAGGGGATGAGGAAAAGTGGAGGAGGAAAAGCGGAGGAGGAGGAAAAGAGGAGGAGGAGGAGAAGGAGGAGGAGGAGGAGAAGAGGAGGAGGAGGAGGAGGAGGAGGAGGAAGAGGAGGAGGAAGGAAGGAGGAGGAGGAGGAGGAGGAGGAGGAGGAGGAGGAGGAGGAGGAGGAGGAGGAGGAGGAGGAGGAGGAGGAGGAGGAGGAGGGGAGGAGGAGGAGGGGGAGGAGGGGGAGGGGGAGGTGGAAGGCGGCAGTGGCAGGGGGAGGGGCGGCCGGATCAGGGCTGGGAGCCCTGCAGCCAGGGACGGGGCGCGCGCGGGGTGTGCCAGCTGGCCAGCGGCTGACAATGACGCGGTTGTGTTCGTGAAGCCGCACGCGTGCACCCCGGCGACGCTGGACTTGGGGAGGGGGAGCCTGAGGCTGCGGGCGGCCAAGAGGGGGGTGATGTCTAGGGGTGGGTGGATATCATCGCGGGGGCCATGATGTCTCCACAGATTTCATGGCGGCTCTTCTTATTTCAATACGTCCCTGGCCCCCCCCCGGGCCGCGCACGTGCCGCCAGCCATGATTTGCGCCACCCCCTCTTGCACGCCACCCTCTTAGTCGCCCCCGATGAGGTTACCAGCCGGGAACATATCCCTATCCTTAGGACTGGCATCGCCTCATTTCGATGCCAATCTTGAGGGTTCCCGTAGTTTCCGAGGGCACATCCCCAAGATTGTTATCGCCTTGGGCTTGCCGATCTTCGGGATAATGAGAAGTAGGGGGAGAACCTTCTTCTCCTCCTACTTTCTTCCCCCTCCTCCTAAGAGCTGCCCAGGCCCAAAGTGCCCCGCGAGCTCCCACCCTGTGTGAGCATTGCGTAACAGGGCAGCACGCGGGTGACATGGCCGACTCGGGCACACATCTGCATACCGAGTCATAGTCACGCACACTCCATCCCCCAGTGTCAATGACGTTGCTCTACCACAACGCTTGGCCGACATATGTTTCTCGTCTCGAGGAGATACCATTGCACACAAAGAACACGGACTTTGTCATAGCGATCGGCACGGGCAGAAGGGCGGAAGACGCAAGGAGACAGATAAGACACGCAGAACTCCACAGTCTACGAGTTACCTTGACAGGCAGAGGCAGAGGACCAAAGAAACGCTTCTTGTTCGCACCCGGGCAGGGGATGACAATGACAGGATGGAAATGGTTATGGCAATGACGCTAGAGCAAGGCGGAATGGACTGTCGTGCTATTTCTTGGGATGAATGGGTCGCAAACCGTTCTTCCAAACCGCATCTTCATGGACAGCCCGACCTGAAGGACCTGATCTGACAGGGCCGTGCTGGGCAGATTACGCACCTGCGACATTAACCAAAAATGAGTGCGAAACCGTCGTGGGGAGTACTTGCGGGGGCACTGTGCATGGGCATCGACAGATCCAGGTGCACCAACGAGCAGGGCCGAATTTCTGTGCTAGAGATTCTCTTCAGGCGGCTCAATGACATATTAGCGCGCGTGCGTCTTGTTGCCTCGGTTCCTCTCGCGTCCATTCGCGCCCAGGCTTTCGCCTGGCCCAACAACCTTTTCAAACGAGGAATCAGAGCGCACAGAGTATTCCAGTGTTTTGACGCTATCGGGACGTGTTGTTCCGGACACATCCAGAGGACCTCTAGGATGCCCTTCCCGCCCGCTTTCGTACGTGGAGGACTGCGAGGACGGAGGTTGGAAGGAGGCATATTAAGGTTATCGCCGATTTGCTGGAGATGTCGCGCAGCACGCCTTAGCCACAGCATGCCCAATTTGGACGGCACGAACGCTTTTGCGCACACATCCAGAGAGGCGCTACGAACACATGATCACATTTGTGGGCGATAACGTGCAGTTAGTGAACCAGGCCATCGATCAATCAGGCCACCATCTACATCGCAGATGTTGGCTGAGAGGCCGACTTTTTGCCGCAGATCGGCACAGCCATGGGTCACTCGCTGGCGACTTGCGACTTCATGGATTTTTGAATTCACCGACGGTCGCCTACTGGGATCGAGCCCTGGCGGTCGACGACTACAGCGACGCACTGCGTTCAGGTGAATGCTTTGTTCCTCAAGAGGTTGACGTTGGCATCGGGATGATTCGTCGACGATGATTGGAATTGGGCTTTCACCTGCGCGTGTATGCCCCGCGCGCAGTAGAGTCGGGGCGCTGAAGAAAGAACCCTTTTCGTTGGGGAGGGGCTCGGTGTTCCTTGATTGTTTCACAGACTGCCTCAGGTTATCCTTGTGTTTTCGATGGGAAATCGAAGTTTAACGCATGGAAAACAAGGGGCCTCGTTCCTTATTTGGGGGTTCCTTTTGTCAACGCCCCGATGGAAAATGTGGCAGCGGCTGTGAACCGCGCTGCGGATGCTCCGCTGCAGTGCGCGCTCCGGAACTGGCGCTATCTGAACGCAGACAAATCGAGCCACAGGATCGCCCTTGCAGGCGCAGGCTCGTTCGAAGTGTCGGGGGTGGACAGAACCCCCAACAGTGACACGTCGATTAGTGAATTGTCCGTTTTCGGTTCTCGAGAGGGCGCCGCGGCCGCTATTTTCCAGGCTTGCGCCCGCCAGGTTTGGGCCTCAGGTCGTTTTCACTAAACCACGTTTTACTAAAGGGAGGTCTGTCCATCCCCGAAAGTGGCCAGGGAGTTGTCCGGGCAAAAAAGGGGGCCATGGAGGGATTTTCTCAGACGGTTCGGGCCCTGGGTCCGATCCTCGGCGCTGGCAGGGTCTTCCGAACGAGACTTCGAAAGCGTGTCAGAGTTGCGCGGGCTGCGTGGCGCTCGCTAGGATCAGTTTGGCGCCGACCTCTACGTCGCAGATTGCATCGCGCGCTTTTCATGTTTCGCGGGCATCGCGGCCATCGCAGGGTTTCGCATCGTTCGTGTTTCCCGAGGCGCTCGCCGACGCTGGACGCAGTTCTGGCGCGTCTCTTGCGGCGCCCGATGAACGGCCAGGCGGCGACCGTTCATGGTGGGGGGGGAGTAGGACCAATGGATCTGCCGTCGAGCTGCAATTTCAGCGCATCTGTCGGCGGCGTGGCACCGCCGGGGCACCTCGCGACCGTCTCCGCGTGCTAACAGCGATGTTCGGGGCGACAGAGCTCGACCGCCCGCTTGGAATTCGCAGGCTGAACCCAGATGGCACGCTGCGCGAATGCAAGGCGCCGCGGGCAGTGCGGCGCCGCAGAGACGGCCGACGTTCGGAAGGTGGGGGCGCGTGGCTTCGGGGAATTGAGTGCGAGGTAATAATAGGACTAGATGAACTTGCAGGGGTGGAGGTCATCAGGATGGATTTCTTGAGGTGGATAGCGGGGGGGGCGATTGCTGTGGCGTAGAGGAGGAGTGCATGCGCGCGCGAGCACGGAGATTGTACATGGTTGCGTGCAATCGCGGGAGGGCGCTCGCACCGCGAGTCGCGCTCGCAGAAAATGTGAACCATCTACTTGGTGACGGCCCCTACCAACCTTTGCCCGTGGTGTGCGGCAGCATGTGCAAGTCGCGCATGACGTCGACGGCGCGATCGCGCCGCGTGAGCGCGCCTCGCGGATGCCCCGCGCGCGCCGCGCCATTCGAGTTTCGGCCTGATGGGCGGCCTGTTTAGTATTGCGGTCTGTGTGGCCGTGGAGATGCAGACCTTGATTTGCAGCTCGGGCGCGCGCGAGCGGGCGCGCGCGGGCGCGCGTCCGCGGCCCCGGGCGCGGCGCGCAGGGCCGGCGCGAGCAGCGGCGGAGGGGCGGGGCCAAGGGCGCAGACGATGGATGTCACGGCAGCAGCATTGCAAAAACCTTGGGAGCGTCGCGGGGGAGTTGGCGCGGGGGGAAGGGGCCAGGCGGATAAGGTGGATCCGCTGACGCGGGCGTGGAAGAGGAGCTGATCGCGATCGAAAAGCTCAGCCTCGACAGCGCGCAGATGATGCGGCAACTATCGGCAGCTTTTGGATTTCTACTTGGTGGTGGTGGGGGGGCAACTCGTCCGTGGGCGCGGGGGTTGGGGAGGGCCAGCGCTGCGCCGACGCGGCGAAGAACAAACTGGGCGCCGTGGGCTGCCCGCTCTTCCGCGCAGGGGCGGCGTGCTGCCTGGAGTGGACCAGCGTGGGCGCGGGGCTTCAACTGTGCAAAGACACCCTCGAACACTTCGCCATGGTGATCGGCGTCGTCCAGCAGGGCGCCTTCGGGGGCACCCTGCCATGCTTCGGCGTCCAGAGGGGCCGCGGTGAGGCGGGTCAAGCGGTTCGCTGGAAGGCGCGCCTCATGTTCAACGCGCTGGCGGTGGGCCCCCTGGAGGAGGAGAACGAGACCAAGATCAGCGAGGCGCAGGAAAAGCATGGCAATCCCCCCATCGAGCTGCAGATGACCCAGGTCTACCACCTGCGGCAGGCCGCGCTTGTGGCCCTGATCAAAAGCGGCGGCCAGGCGACGTCCGGGCTTCGCCACCGACAGCGCTGGGGCGGAGGCTTCAGACGCACCTGCTTGCGAGGATGGCGCAGCTGAGTAGCGGCAGCGGGTTCGACGCCCAGTGAAGCATGGGTGCAGAGCGACCAGTAGAATAATTGAAACGCATGGGGCGCCGTGAGTAGTTTCATTTTCCGAGCGCCGAAGGCGCACTGCAGCTTTGGAAGTGGATTTTTCGGCGGTGGGGTCAGAGGCGGTGCGGGTGGTGGTGGTGGTGGTCCAGTGGCATGCAGTAGTCAGTTTCAGGGCGGTTTCCGGCCAGGATGAACCGATCGCTCCTCTCCACAGTGCAGCGCGCGGAGGGGCAACCAGGCCATAACCCGCTGCATTGTTTTTTTTCGAGTTGTGGTTGCCCAGCGGGAGGGACCCAACGGCCTTCATGAGCCATCGGGTCTCGCAGGCTTCTTCCGTGTGCTTGCCAAGTCGCCCACCAGCAGCATGCGACTCGTTGTTCAGCGAGTCGCAGGCTATCGATAGACGATAGCGAACCGACTGCCCGTGCTCCCGGCCCCGCCTCCGACGACTCCCCCCTCCTCCTCCTCCTCCTCCTCTTCCTCCTCCTCCTCCTCCTCCTCCCCATTTCCTCCTCCTCCTCCTCTTCCTTCTCCTCTTCCTTTTTTTCCTCCTCCTCGTCCCCCTCCTCCTCCTCCTCCCCTCCTCCTTCTCCTCCTCCTCCTACCCCTCGTTCTCCGTGCAGGGGAATCATGCGTCAAGTTAATATTGGGAGTGAAAGCGCGAACGGGCCACCCTGAGACTGGATCCTGTGAGCAACCCCGTATGCTTTCCACATATGGTCGTCAAATAAGGGGTCAAGCAGCACATGGAAGTGCTCAAATTCACGAGCGACTGCAACAGGATCGCCTATGCAACAACAACTCACGATCGACAGCGGAGTCTTGTAACAACTCAAC